AAGTACTTTTACCTATCCTGAAAGTAAGTAATATATTAAGTACTTCAATCATGCTTTACAATAAGTAAAGAAAGGATGTTTTCTGCCCAACACAGAAAAACCGTGATGTACAGTCTACACTATTACGGGGTCAAATTAATTTGAAATGTTCTACGTAGATTATACAGTTCCTGCAGGAGTTAAAGGTCAAGATGCCGCTTTCCATTTTCCTGAAGTAACAGCGGTTCCAACGAAAGTGGCAGGTATTGTAATTTGTTGTTGTGAAACTTAAGTTCTAAAAAAAAATGTTTTGTAGAACTTCTTCTGGTAGAGGAATAGAAGCAGACGGAATTGCCCCATTAAAAGATGAAAAAGTACTGCATCCAGTGAAAACATATGACGGGAAAAGAAGAATTGTTTCAACTGCAGGTAGTTATGCAGATAACAGTTTCAAATATCCAAAACATATATAATTATTTGTTATAGAAAGTACACTCACAATGGACAATACAGAAGCTAGTATTTCTGCAGTTTCTGAATCGTTAGCACCCCCTGTAGAAGCAGGAAGCAGTACTAAATTAGGTAAAGAACAATTTCTTTGTTCATACAAATATACCTGTATTAGTATCTATATTTTAATTAATTGATGTTTGCTATTTACTCGTATATTGTGCTAATTATATTTATTACTGTATTTATACTTTGTTATTAAATTTGTTAATTTTATTTTTGTCTTTTTTTTTCAATTTCCATTTAAAACAAAAAAAAAATAAAATTTGGTGTAATTTTGAAATGCGCACCTTTGGTTACGCTTCATAGTGTGATGTATAGATGGCAGTGAAATTCGAAGTTTTCTTTGCCAATACCATTTATATATATATTCCAAGTATCGTCTACTAATGTGGGGTAAACTTAGATGTCACTACTATCGTCCAAATTTCGAGTTTTACATCTATTTACCTAGTCTAGGTAGTCTAGGACTAGACCTTCATGCCTGAGAAGGTGTCCTACGAACCTATCTCGCCTATTTTTTATTTCTTGACTTCCATAGAATCCTGTTTTCCTATTCTTTTTAAAGCTAAAAAGTGTCTATATAATAAATTCCCTAAAATAACTAAGTATTTCTAAAATTGGCATATATTTTCTATTTTTCGAATCAAAAATGTTTTTTTAAAGAAGAAAAAACACCAAATTATCATTTAAATGATCAACTATATGATGATTTGAAACTACACTATTTACACAACCTGACACAGCCATTAACTGATGTTTTATGAATTATCACCATAGATTAAATTATCACATTCTATAATCAATCTATAGATAGGCTACGATCGTTAATCTAACCATAGCACATATTGAACCATCGAGTAGCTAACATGCAAACCAACCGCTTGATATTACATTGTCCTATGGCATTGTTATTGAAGTTAGGTTATTTATGCAAATTATGAGTGTCAGAAACACGACAACATGTCGGTTTTTTAAAAAGAAAAGAGTGCTTACTCAATAGCAATGTTAATTACAGAAAATTTTTTGAATTTGGACGACTACTCTTTCCAAAATTCACCCAGTTCCTCTAGCGATGGAATTTCTACAAACAACGGTAAAAACAAAATAATTCTAAAACAATGTGACAAAAACAGAGAAAATATTAATGTACTTTTTTAGATTTCTTGGACAGTCCTTCAGATGAAGATTTTTTACAACAGTTATCGTCAGATTTGGATATACCATTGCTCTTAAACCCCGGCGAAGATGAACTTAATGTGTTGAATTCTTTTTTGGACAAGAGCCCTGAAGAAATTCTCAGTGAAGTGAAATCTCCTCCTTGCAGTACTAGTTTGTTAGAAAGTCAATTAAACGAAACAGAGAATACCACACAGTGGAACTGGGATGAATTATTTGATCTACCTGATGAAATAGAAACGCTTTATAGAAATAACAAAGATGAGCATATTTGTAAAAATGATGAAGTAAAAGGTAGTGATGGTTATCTCACTAGAAAACTCAATAAAGCCATTGTAAAACCAAGTAATAGTCTAAAGAATGAACAAATTTTGGAAACCCCACCAACTTCTCCTGAGTGTCAGCAAGTGTTTCTTGTTCAAAATTCGGAAAAAGGGTCTCCGTGTAATATAAAAAAAGCAGTAAAGTTGGAAAATAAAGCGCCACTTACCCAGACGAATGTAAGCCTGCAAAATGCCCGAAAAGTTTCTTGCAAAAGACATGCAACTTTTCCACAAATGATTAAATCTGCATCTCCAAACAGTAAAGTCTTAATAATTCCATCCACTACTTCAGGTGCTGGAAATTTTTGTAGTGTTCCTACTTATCACCCAATTCAACCAGATATTCCCCAGAAAGTTATTGTTATAGACAATAGGCATGCAATACCACTAGAAACAACTTCTATACCTAAAACTTCAATTTCCAATATAAATAACTTTAGTTCTTGTATATCAATACCTTCTCTACAAACATCAATGCCACTTATAATAAAGACTGAGACTGAAACATCATCATCAATACCAATTAAATTGTCCCCTTCAATTGACCCTAAGGCATTAAAAAGACAGCAAAGGATGATTAAAAACCGAGAATCTGCTTGTCTTTCCAGAAAAAAGAAGAAAGATTATTTGACCTCGCTTGAAAGAAAAGTGCAAATATTAACAACAGAAAATGAACGTTTAAAAGCTGTAAGTACTTTTAAAATAACGGGAGATATTGTTAGGTATACAGTTTCCAATTCCTCCTTGTAATGTAATATGTGTAAATTCATTATTATAATTATGTAGAAAAGAAAATATAATAGGCATGACATTAAATTATTTCCTAAAATTTATAATTTTTAGGAGAATGCAAAATTAAAAGATCAACTTTCAAAATTTATACCCAATGGTGCCCAAACAAAAACCCTAACAAAAGTAATTTCGTTATGTGCAGTTCTTTGCCTAATGTTCTTCAATGTAGATTATATCAGGTATGTAAATTAAAAAGTAACTGCCAGAAAGGTGTATGCAAGTGTCTTTTTCATCAGGTTGCCGCATTTGACAAGGAAAATAAATTTAAACACACAAGATGAATTAGCAGTATTACCACCACATGTAGGAAGAAATTTACTATGGAGTTCAATAGGAATAGAAGATACTAACGTGACTGATAACAATGCAACCGATGCTTCTCATCTTATGTGCCCTGTGTATATAAACCAGACAGAGAATGTACGATTAGCTTTAGAATTACAAAGGTAAAAAAGATCTATGAATCAATAATCATAAAATATACAATGTTTAAATGTTTCAGGTGGATTGGAAAACCCATTAATTCAAACAATTCCACAAACAATTTTATGGCTAATCATAAAGAAGATAAGCCATCTAGAAAAAACAAACGGTTAAAAAATAAAATTAATTCTGTAAAGGATAATTATGCAGAGCCTGTTTATGAAATGAAAAAGAGAAGTAATTCCTTAAGGAATTCTATCCCCAATGAAATTCAAGTGTTTGCCCCTAATTTGGATCAAATTTATTCGGAGTTCTTCGAGGCCATAAACAGACAAGATGACACTTTTTATCTCGTCTCTTTCAGTCCAGACCACATGCTCTTACCTGCTTTAAATTACAATAAAACAAGAAGGCCGAAGATGTCTCTTATTCTTCCCTCTTTGTTAAATGATGGTAAGGGTAATAGAAGAAACAAATATGAAAAAATTAATTTCTATTTTTAGACTCTTCACAGCTCTCTGTAATTCCCCTAATGCAAATTGACTGCGAAGTGTTGGACACTCAGATAATCCATGTAAAGAATGGTACAATACCAAGACATTTGCGTTCATATAATAGTACAACTTCCCCAGTATCACCACCCCATTCGTCTAATGTGGGCTCTACCTCTAACTCTACTGCTACTAGTGAGAATTTCCACTTTGAAAAGAATTACAAGCCGTACTTTATGAGAAAGTCTTACTTGAGATCTATAAAAAATGAAGCAGAAAGAAGGAAATATGGAAGTTAAATGTTTACAATTAGTAATTTTGTTGATGTTGAAAATTAATTTATGGGTTTACTAAAACAGCAGGTAGCAAGGGGAGCTAGAAACAATTCTTTATAATTTCGCTGTAAATTTAAGCTTTAAAAAGGGAAGTAAATTGTCGTACATTTTTAATAAAGAAAAGGTATATTTGTAATTTAACAAGTTGTATATATCAAACTAAAAAATAGATAATGTTACATTTTATCTATATCTAGATATTTTCTACTTAATTAGACCATTAATATAATTTCCGACTGTATTTGTTAATAATTAACAAAAAGTGACTTGACTTGATAGAGTATTATTAAATTTATTAACTGTTAATTATAATTGTAGAATACTTCGGAACATAAATTTTACCGTACACGACAATTCAAATAACGAGGTACAAATTTTATACTTTTAAATTGTTTAGTTAATTTTTATGTTTTATTTAGGTATTTAAATATTGTTTATTTTCTTAAATTTGCACAGATTGCAGGTAATTATGAAAATGCGATAGAATAGGAATAAATTAGATTTTTGCAACCATAGACGTACCGTTATAATTTTACCGCACATTTTAACATAATAAGGAAATACGAGCAATTTTCTATATCTTGTTTTTTTATTACTTTTTAGAGTTTCTAATTTCTATACTGTTACAGTGATGCATATTTTATTTTCAGTTTTCTATAGTAGTTTTGAAAAGTATCAAGTAATATAATTTTTCATGTGATACATGTTGTATATTATAAGAAAAATAAAAGAACGTTAATATAAATTCTAATGGGTGGTATATTTATTTCATTTTACAAAATGTACTTCCTGTGTATAATACCCGTTTTCAATTCCGTACTCGCTGTGGTCTTTGATTTTTAGTATAAATTTTTACTGTGTGCATAATGTACCATATTAATGTACAATTAAAAATAGAATTAATAATGTTTGTTAAAAACACTACGACTGCTTAGAACGTGTAAAAAAATTAACGTTATTTCAAATCGGGCGTGCTGGAACCTAAATAGCATTTCAAATCGTTTACGGTCGATTTTACTAATTTTGCTTTAATCGTTTCTTTGTTCAGTTTTTTATGTGCCGTGTATCGATGGCAACCTCCAAAACTGTAGTAATAGTTTCCCCCTTCGCGCCCTATTATCCACAAAATATCTACAGGTGGAACCAGATGGGCTGTATCGGGATTGGAAATAGTTTCCATCAGGGATCGCACTTTCTCTTCGTTAACTTCCGGCGGAAATGGCCTAATAATTACCGACATTGGTACATCGTATACTTCCGTAATTGTTCCAGCATGAATGCTCGTTTGATTGCTATCATTACTAACCATCACTTTTTCTAGATATAAATTTCGTTAATACTTTTTATAATAACGGCAATTTACATATAAACATACGTACTTGATATGTGGATAGTGCGTAATCCTAATAAATTATTAAATCGATAAAAAAGAACACTGTTCATATAAATAGTTTCTAGTTGTTAACGATACTGAAATCACTTATTATTATTTACTAAAAATTTTACGTTACAAAATAGATAAAAAATACGACGTGCTGAATCATTTTCTAATTAACGTTGTAATAACCTTGAAGCGTTTACCGCTTACAGGCTGATTTAAAATAAAAGTATAGTTAGAAATTTTTAAAAAAAAATATTTTGACGAAGAAATAAAACGCCACATTTTCAAATCTTTCTAAAACACAAACCTCAAATGTTCTTTTAAGAAAGGCCAAAAGTCCATTAAGTACAAAGTAGGTATTTGATCGGGTTAATTTACTTAAATTAAGGACATGCATAAGAAAAATAAATTTAAAAGTAATAACAAAAGCAAAGACTAAAATTTTCAAAAATGGAGTTGCTTTTGTTCGGCTGCATGAGCAAAAACTTTTCTAAAGGCCACCGTTAATTGCCCTTAATGGCAAGTTGCAAAAGGCAAAAGAGAAAGTCGTACAGATATGAATTATGAAGAAAAACAGAGAAAGAAATAAGCAACAATGTACCAACAAATTACAAGTACATTTTTTCATAAGTCTGCTTACAAAAGAAGTATTACCATAAACTTCGGAGGGATGCATTAATTTTATTAAATGTTGGATTGTTTTGAAAATAGCATAAGTATCTAATAAAAACAGTTTTTGAGAATGTTTACTTGCAGGTTATGTTTACATAATAAACTTGAAAAACAGGAAATTGTATCTATACGGTCTGACAACATACAATTACTTAAAAGAATTAAGGATTGTGTTTCCCTTGATGTAAGTAGTTAAGGCTAAAGATAAGCACTTGTTATTAATATTTTCTTTATAGATAAAGGAAAATGCTGCACTCCCTGGATTTGTCTGTCTCCTGTGTATCCAGAAAATCACTGACTGGGAAAACTTTAAACATATTTGTCAACAATCAAACGCAATTCTTTTAGAAAAATTACATGATAGTAAAGATGTTTTATATAATAATCCCTATCTAGATAATGAAAAAAAACTGAGTATTTCTGAAGATGTGAAAAATGAAAATACATATGAAGAGCAGTTTTTTGAAAATGTATGAATACTAGACAGTTAAGAATAAATTTACAAATTATTACAATAATTAAATTGAAATTTTTAGGATTTAGAACAACCGAAATTATTATCAAGTGGAGATTATTATGTGTGTGACATATGCTGTGAAGAATTCGACAACTGTTTTGACTACCTAGACCATCAAGAAAGACATAATGGAGAGCCTGTGTTTAGATGTGATATATGTTTTGAAGTAACCAATTATTTTTCAGAAAAGTCATAATATATTTTAAAAGTATTACTTTTAGGTTTTTAGTTTTAGAAAAGACTTGGTATTCCATGACCAAAATCATAAGACACGTTGTCCATATTGTTCTAAAGATATTATCAAATCTGGGATGAAATTACACTTAATAATTCATACTGATAGATTTAAGTAAATTATTTTATTAAAACTTTATAGAAACACGATAATTTATTTAGGTTGTTTTAGATGTGATAAATGTGGGGGTAGATTCAATAGCCGTTGCAACCTGGACATTCATATGATAAAGGTCCATACTAATATCAAAACCCATGTATGTGACACCTGCGGAAAATGCTTTTCCTGTCAATCATCCCTTAAAGTCCATCTGCGCACACATAGTGAAAAACGACTTTATAGATGCACTGAATGTGACTATATGGGTCGCACTGCGGCTGCGCTGTACGCGCATAAGACGACTCATTCATATGACCTTAGGGTATGTCAACATTGCCCAAAGACATTCAAAAGTGGCCGGAATTTAAAGGACCATTTGCGACGCGTACATTCCAAGGAAAAAAAACACCGATGTCCAAAATGTAACAAAACATTCGTTGACAAGTATATGTTATCGATACATCAAAGATGGCACACAGGCGATCGACGTTACAAATGTAATATATGCTCTAAAGCTTTCATAAGATCCGATGGTTTAAATAATCATATGGACACTCATGAATTCCATGCGAAATATGATTGTCAAAGATGCGGAAAGAAATTTAAAATGAAGAGGAGTGTGGTGAGACATACATGCACGGCAAACAGTATCTCTAATGAATGAATTGTTATATAATATTACTTACTATTTTAATAAAGAATACTTTCTTAAGTAACACTATTTCAAAAGCGTTTTTTAACTCACCCTATTAAAACAATTTTATTTTTTATTTTGGTCTTTAGTGTACAATCCGCAGAAATAAACAAAAGCAAAGATTTATAGATTTTATGTAGGCATATAATTGTTTAGGTTAAGGGTCACACATTCTATTTTCTTAAAATTTTAATAAGTTCTATAGTTCAGGTGCTGTGGTTTTAAGACGTTTAAAGACGCGGCAACAACAACACTCACTTCGTTTGTCCTATAATCCCAAGCAATTAAATAAAAGAATCGATCCGTATGGTTTTTAGGTCAGGTTACGTTATATTCCGGTAGGAAAGGCAACACGAACGAAGTGATTGTTATATTTGTTGTGTGCATACTTTTACTCACAGTGAACCACAAAAATGTTATCCTCATTTGTGATTGATTTGCTTAGCTATGGAATGAGTGGTTGATTTACTTTATTTTTCCTTTAATATCGAAAATTATGTCAAGGAATGGTTCCCGCTCCCAATATATTTTTACATATTCTTCTTTAGCATGCTGAACTGTATAATATACTAAAATTTAAAGAAAATCGGAGTTGTGGCCCCTAAAGTAAACAATTTTTTCTTTAAAANCTAAAACGTGTAATAAAAAAATATTAAAAGATAAATTTCGAAAAACAAATGTTTTTGAATGTGTATATCTACAAAACACAATAGGGTATGTGTAATTATGACAGACGTTTCCTTAACAATGTTGTACGAAGGCATGGATACCAATAAGGAAATAAGTAGGGTATATTAACATATTTTTTTGTAATAGTATTCAAGCTTATGCAGTCACATTAACTAATTATTTAGAGTAGTTGTAAATATTTTAGTAGAGCGCATTTGAATAAAATGGCCAGTATAAAAGACCTCCAAATTATCCTACTCCTTAGTGGAAAAAGAAAATCAGGAAAGGATTACATATCTGCTAAACTTACAGGATTGTAAGTAAATTTTGTTTATCATCATAAAATATATTTAATTTAAATAAATGAAACAGATAAAAGAATGTGTACACATATACGAGATATGCATATATAAAAGAATGTGTTTACCGTACCATATACCGGTTTTCATTTTAATGGTACAAATAACGAAAATGTACCCAAACTACATATTTCTAACATAAAGTTTGGTATTTCAGATTAAACGATACATGTACTCTAATTCGTATATCAGGACCACTAAAGAAAAAATATGCAGACATAAATAATTTGAATTATGAAGAATTATTGACCGATAATGGTTATAAAGAGACATACAGAAAACAAATGATTATTTGGAGTGACGAAATTAGGAAAACGGACCCAGGATATTTTTGTAAAGTAGCTTGTGAAGAAGGTAATATTTTATCTAGTTTTCATTAACTAAACAACGCCACTGTTTGTCCACGGTAAGACGATAACCATTTTTCTGAAAATCGGATCGAAATTTTGTTCGTAAAATGTAGATTGATTTCTGTCAGACTGGTTTAAATGAATTAAAATTTAACAATTCATTTGTAGCTATTCCAAAAAAAATTTGGATTGTTAGCGATATTAGACGTAAGACTGATATAAATTGGTTTCAATCTAATTACGGAAAAATGGTTAAAAAAGTACGGATTATTGCTGATGATGACGTAAGGAAGCAGAGAGGATGGAAATTTACTAAAGGTAAAAAAAAGACTAATTAAAAATTTACTCTGTTAACGAATTAGTTCACTGTAGGTGTAGATGACGCAGAGTCTGAATGTGATTTGGATGATTATAATGATTGGGATTTGATAATATCTAATAACAACTCCAGTGATTTTGAGAATGGAATTGGAAAAATATTAACTTTAATAAACGAGTCAATTCAGGGTTAGAAATTGTACGTAAGCGTATTAAGTACACTTTGTTAATTTTATCAAATTGAGGATTATATTTGGCACATATGTATTTATTAAATTATTCTCCAATAAATGATTAATTACTTATAACTGTGACTATTAATTTCCAACCACTTCAAGTCTACATTTTGTTAAATAAATTATTACGCTCGATAAAAAAATAATAACACTATTTAAATCTCATCTAGGCTCTTAAAAAATACATGAGGGTATTTAAATTAAAAAGTTTTCTAAAATCGAATAAGTACACTATGCATGGGTGAGGAAACATTTTACCATTAGAGGCCTCATTTAAAATAGGGAGTAATCAGGAGGCTACATATACTTATGCACCTATAAATTCAACATTTGTAATCCTATGTAGTTTTATCAATTAAACTTTAATTTAAATTAAAGACCGCCAGAGCTACAGTACTGCAATATTGTAATTTATGTTCAATAGATGTCAGCATATTATATATCTAACCCTATTAATTTTCATATTGTTATAACCTTTTTTAATAAATATCAATTAGAAGGGCTACCTTTTATAAAGGCCGCACAGGAAACTCATGCAGGTTCACGTTCAGCACCACTGCGGTATTGATTGTAAAGTAATTAGACTTGCGATAAAAGTTATGTGGCAAATGTGTTTGATGTGACGTAGTTCAATGTTGTTCATTCCAAACGTCACTGTACGGTGCACGTCACGTTAGTTACAATAACAATGTCTGCTATGAAACAACAGAGTAGAACGCAGAAAGTATTTTACCAGAAATTTTCATAGTTTTAAGATTTAGATGAGGCTGTAGATGCCAGTTTTATGAATCTTGTATTAGAAGATGGACGTGGAAAAAGAACGTGCAGAAAAAACGACAGAACATTCAATCCCTTTGGATATTCTAGGTGACCTTATCACGTAAGTTCCGCTGTTGTGTACTACTTCTTTGAGTATATGTATTTCTATGTTTAAACATAAATACAGTATTGTGGTAAAAGAACCTATTTATTTTAGGAGGTTTATTATTCACGTACCCCCAGAATCAAAACAAAACTTAATTCGAATATGTTTTCAAATTGAACTTGCACATTGGTTTTACTTAGATTTTTACGTCAGTAATGATGCCAAATTAAAAAGTTGCACTATTAATGAATTCGCAGCTCACGTTTTCCAGGTAAGAACAAAAAAATAATATTTCTCAACGGTACGTTTTTCCTCAAATGTACTTGTTATTGTGAAAATTCAAAATCTAACGAATACCGATATTCATTGATGAACGTCAACATTGGCCAAGTTGCTTAGTTTACCAAGTATTTTTCAGTTATCATCCTTTTCTTACAATAATTGATTTCTCATACAATAAAATTGTTAAAGTGACAGTATTTGATTGCAGTTATTAGATTGTAAAACTATTTAGTATTACTGACAAGAATAATAAGTTAAAATTGGAAGCTGGTTGAGAGTAGACCCTAAATTCCAGCATCAAAGGATGACAAAACAGATTTCCATCTAGATAATTTTCTCACAATAAATATCTTTTATTAGATTATTTCTTTCAAGTTTTTATCATTATCTTATTTAGATCTTAGGTAAATGTGTTTGTTGTTATTATTATAGCTATCTTGATAATTTTGTTTATTTTTCATAAAAACTTTTTCTTGTCAATATTAACTTTGTTTTTTTGATAGCACATACCAGCGTTGCAGTCATACTGTAACAAATTGGACGAAATTATTGAGGAATGGAGATCATACAAGCAAACAGTTCCCACATATGGTGCAATATTATTATCAGAGAATCTAACGCACGTGCTATTAGTACAAAGTTACTTTGCAAAATCATCATGGGGATTCCCAAAGGGAAAGGTGAATCAAGAAGAAGATCCGACCCACTGTGCCATTAGAGAAGTTCTTGAAGAAACAGGCTTTGACATCAGCAATTATATAGATCCGGATCTATATTTTGAATCTATAATAAATGAACAGCTAGTCAGATTGTATGTGATTAAGGGTATCTCAATGGAAACAGAATTTAAGCCGCGAACAAGGTGTGAAATTAAGGCTTGCGAATGGTTCCCTATCGTTGATCTCCCTAATAACAAAAAGGATAATACTCCCAAAGTCAAGATGGGAGTTAGTCCAAATGCATTCTTTATGGTCTTGCCATTTATCAAGAGAATAAAAGGTTTATCACAGAATCCAAAGAGTGCTCGTAGAATGAGGAAAAAGTCTACTAGTATTAGTGAAGGAGAAAGTGGCAAAAAAAATACCAGTCTGAATATTAGCAGTATAAGCAAAAAAATTAGTAGCCAACGAACAACAATAACTGCTGATGTGGAAGACAAAAGCTTTAATAATAATAATAATAAACAACTACAAATCAGGGAGAAACGAAATCTTAATTCTAAAAGAAAGTTGTTTAACAACTCAGGAGAACAGATAGAGTTCTGTGCTCCCTCTTGGCTAAACTTCAAATTTGACAAAACTGCCCTTCTGGAATGCATTCCGTAAAAATGCAAGGCCGCGATTCAAAATTTACACAACTCACTCTTGTATGAGTATTTTGACTGATTATTTAATTTTGCTTTTTTTGTTTAAGTTTTATATACCTTTTTTTGTGGTTTAATGATGTATCTATATAAAAACTAATTTCTTTTCATTTTTGAGCTGCCGGAATTATTACAGTTTTTTTTTTAATTCATAACGAAATCGTCTAGAAATTTATGCTTTTCAAAACAAACGAAAGTTTATGAGAATTGTATGTCTAGTTTTTTTTATTAAATTTTTATGTGTGTACATGTAGTTGGTATTTACAACAAAAGTAGTTGTAAAGCATAAGCATTAAGAAAAAATTCACAATATAATAACTAAGACGACTAAAAATTTTTGTTGATATCCTGTTTTAACTTTTGAGAGATAATAAAGCATTTATTTTAGCAGCATATAGTTTTATCTTATATTAGTGAAATTAAAAAAAAAACGATCTTGGCGCAAATAAAAACGGTGGGGATAAGATTATCACAAGTTTTAGAAAAAAGAATGCTAAAGGAGGCTGTGATAAGTACATAGAATATATATAGGGACTCGTTTCTGTACACAGTAAACATTGTTAGTATCTCATTGATAGTGGCCACAGTAAAGTGTGAAAAACGTGTCCGTTTTTAACAAGTTTGAAATATGTGTAAATGAAATGTTTGTTGTTTCATTTTGTAAACTGACAATGACGTATGGTTTTTGAGTGCGAGGCTTTTTAGAGACTACTATCAATTATAATTGTAACCCTGAAGAAGCTGTACACTCAAGGGTGAAAAGTCGGTGTCGGTTTAGAGATTAAACTCATTTTGCCTCTATATTAGATTTCATTCACGTATTCGACAATAAAGGGAAGAAATGGAAATTGAACAAGTCTAAAATTTATAATTAACAACAAAAAGCAGTTTAATTACCAGTATTATCTTATGCTAAACAATAACAGTATCAATTTCATTTATATATTGACTCAAGATGTGACAAAACAAACTGGCAATTTTAAATTATGATTTCATGTTTTTAATTCAAATAGTCCGTGGTAATACTTGACAAATTAAATTAAAATTAATAGTAAAATTGACCAATATGAGGTGGCGCCACACATTTACCCAATATATTGCATTATAGCTTCATAAATTTACTGCTTCTAATAATTTTTATAGGATTTCCATTTTTGCTAACTCTAGAAAGGCCTTGATGGAAGGTGTGTATGCATTTAGATTTAGAAGTCGTTAAGTGAGAAAAAATGAATGAGTAAAAGGAAGAACAGTGTAAGCATAAGCAGCTGTTGCATTTCGGTTCAATGTTCATCAACTTTTCTTCTAAAAGCTGGGTAGGAGGGGATCCTCGAACGTTGTTGGGTTAGTTCGCGCATTGTTTCGAATCGTCAGCAGCACCGAGCAGTGCGTTGTGGAAGTTGTGAGCGAGAGTGTTGTGTGTGTGAGCAGTTATGGCGGCCCCACTGACCCCAGAACAAGAAGTAGTAAGTTATTGTTTTAAATGAAAATATATATTGGCAAATTTGTCAATTCAATATTCGTTTGCTGGAGCCAAAATTAAGTGTGCTCCAAATTAGACTCCTTATTGCTCCTTTGCATTAACATTTGCAATTGCAGGCAGTGTGAACGAAAATTTTTTAACTTATGCCGTTGAATCGGTGGGTGTTGTCGTCCAACGGAATTTTTCAGTTTGCTTCAATTTTATTACATGTCAGAATACAGAAGCGTAACCTTCGTAGCTTTTCCAACCTGTAGCGTTTGATAAAACTAAATAAAAAATCTAAATGGAAACGTTTTTGGAGTAAAGGTTATGGGCAGTAACCGATTCTGACCCTGTGCGCGCATCGCGAAACTTTGTTTACAAACGAGAGTTAAAATTAAATTACCATGCCTGTTTCAGCAACTATGAACGGTAGAGGAAATTGATTGATAATCGAAAATAGAAACAGTTGTTTATTACGTGCAGCGGAAACGTTTCCTTGCCAGACCGTTTTTCCACAAATGGAAAAACACATTGATTACCACAGAAATCATTGACGACGTATGATTTTCATGAATAGCGGTCCAATGTGATAGGATTAACAAAATTAAAAATCCTGTTGATCTTTAAAGTAAACAGAAACCCCGCACATCTGATAAGAGTGATTTTCTTCATCGGATTCGTTGAATTCAGCTGACTGTGAGTGTTTTACCTAAAACTTCTAAAATCAATTATTTTAATTTAAGAAACGGTTGGAATAGTCATGACATGAAGTTAACTCTTAATGGACACAAGTTTAAAAAAATTCATTAATGTAAACTATTAATTTATCACTGTTGGTCACACCAGTGGTTTTATGCTTTAAAGACTTTAGTCACAATAGGCAAAGTGTTCGCTAAATGTTGAAGTTCACACAGTTTTCATAGCAATATACATCGGGTTTAACAGCGGATGATTGAGGGGACCAGTACGCCCCAGGCCTCTGGCCTTAGGGGTCTCTAAGTTTAGAGGAGTCCTTTTTAATGGAATCCCAAAATACTTTCTGTAAGCATAAAGGGCAGTTGGGACTTTCTATTTGCAGAACGTAGGTATATGCCAATTATCAAAGGGTGTCTAAGAAGATAATCTACATAACATGATAGTCATTATATCTATATGTATTATTTATTTTTTACATTTTTACACTAGAAATAGTCTTCTGAGCAGATCCGAGGGCTTCAACTCGTTTCGCTTGCCTGGTCTAAACATATGTATAAAAATACCAAATTTGTCAGAGTTTTTCTTCGTAATATTGTTAATTCGTTATCATATTCTTCATGTTTTACGGGCACACCGTATGTATATTACACAATAGCCATTGGATTGGTGCGCACAGCCTGCTGCAAGATTGCCATTCCATTGTTTAACCTTCGGAGACAAATCGCAGGTCGACGACCCTTTCGATATCGAAAAACAGATCATGGCATCATGGTGCCGGTAATCGTTCCTTCTAATAATAATATGCGCCTCTCTAATTTACAATTAGTCAATACATAGGGTGTCCGTTGTAAACATACGAATCATATTTGATCAATTTAGAAATGATTTCTACTTTGCAGTATTTATGAGGGGCCTATTTAAATCGAAGAGGTCAGTAATTTAAATGCAAGTGGTAACTAAATCAGAAAGTAATTATTATACTGACTAATTTATATATTGATCGCTTAGTATTTTTGTACCGATCGTTTAATATTTTTATACTGACAAACTTGAATGGTCACCCCTCCCTCTCCTTCCAGACAGTCGCTATTGCGAAGTATACTAATCGGAAGATCAACTTGAAAGATTCTCAGGTGTTTTAAAATAAATTTTCTGAGAGAGCAGTGAAGATGTTAACCATCATGACGATTTTTCTCTCGAGCACATTTTATTTTTAAACCGCCTTTTGTGAAGTGGGAATAAACAGAACCCTACCTTATTATATCATAAAATTAATTAATAATCAATAATTACAATTTAAAAAAACTGTTGTTTTTTAACACTGGCATGGTATGATGTCATTTATTTTAATGACGTGTGATTACGTGGAGCGGTATTTATTTTGTATCGAGTATACACAGACGAGTGGAAGGACGGATAGACCGAAACTATGAGGATTATTATTGCTAGTGCCTACGAACCCCTAAAAATGAATGCCCTATATTACTTAAACTATCGAAGTACATATTTTGTTTTTCAGAATCATCATCATCATAAGGTCGTCGGTCCTAAGACTGGTTGGACACGTACCTCCACTCTTTCCTATCCTAAGCTAATCTTCGCATTTCCCTAAAACTAGAACAACCGACATCCTTAACTATTTGCGAACAGTAATCTAATCTAGGTCTACCTCTACCTCTCCTAACTTCCGTTTCTGATTGTAATCTACTAAAGGCCCATTCATTTATTACATAAGACTATTTTCGCTAGTTTTTGGCCTCCTCCCTCTTATTATAAGAAAACATAGGAATAGGTCGACCCCCTTCCCCTGTTTAATATTTATTACATAAGAATTTAAAGAAAAATGAAAACACGTTTGGTTTGTTTATTTTTCAAAGTAACCATTTTTAAAAGTGTTTATTTGTACTTAACAAGGTACTAACAATTGCGCATATTACGCATCCTAGTAAACCTCGAAACTCGCGCGGTTGCCCGCGCATTTTTGTGATCTTACGTAAGAACTATTCAGACTTCCTCCTGCCCCTTTTAAGAAAAAAAAAGACATGGTCAACCCCCCTCCTCCCTAAATCGTCTTACGTAATAAATGAATGGCTCCTAATCTATCTCGCCTTTTTCTTATTGTCTTCCATAGAGTCCTCGGTTCTCCTACTCTTTTTAATACCTCTTCATTTCTAACCTTCTCTATTCACGGTATCCTCATCATTCGCCTGTAACATCACATTTCGAACGCTTCTAACCTTTCCTTTTCCGCCGTGTCCACTGTCCATGTTTCGCATCAGTCCAGCGCCGTGCTCCAAATATACACCTTTCGAATATCTAAATTAATAATAATAATAATCATCATCATAGGGTCGTCAGTCCTAAGACTGGTTGGACACGTACTTCCACTCTCTCCTATCCTGAGCTAATCTTCGCGTTTCCCTAAAATTAGAACAACCCATATTCTTAACTATTTGCGAACAGTAATCTAATCTAGGTTTACCTCTACCCCTCCTAACTCCTATTTCTGCCTCTAATATGTCTCTGACTAGACCTTCATAATAAGAAAAAAATATCCATCCTTTATTGCATTACATTGTGAATGACGGAGAATTACTGGGATTTGTAAGAGAGACTTATGGAAACTACACAACTCACACAGTCAAAAGAAAAAAAATTGTCAATGTATAAAAAGATTAATAATTTGTTTTAGTCATATTTTATACTACATTCTATCAGGTATCAGGACAGAATCGACAGACCTACGTGTTGTGTAACTGAATTTATTTACAAAATACGTTTTTGGCGATATACGATTTGGAAATAGTAGCAAATATCCCAACTTTTAACGCGATCTCCTCTAATCTAAATTATACCTATTGTTGCTTGTGTTTTCGTTTTGACGTCTCGTGTGCTATGCTGTGATTTCGTTACTTTTTCAAGCCTATCCCTAATATTCAGTGCCATTAAAAAACAAAACTGTTCTTTTCAGAACAAATTATTACTGATTCTATTGCTTGCTTTCAATTTATTTATGGTTGTACACTATTAGTTATCTGTAGAATTTAAATTTTGAAAGAATGAAAGTAAAACTTCCTTTGAATCGTTTGGAATTATGACCGCACGCAATCTTAGATTTTATACAGTGTATCTATATTTATACTTAATATGTAGATGTATAGATGTCACTTAAAATAAAGTTAACCGTTTTATAATAAATTTTAATTGATATCGTTTTTTGAATTATTATTATCAG